TCTCTCTCTCTCTCTCTCTCTCTCTCTCTCTCTCTCTCTCTCTCTCTAAGCTTTCAATGGGGGCTCGAGCTTTTGAAGAAGATGATAGATTTAATGATTTATATGTCCCTCCCTTTTTTATTTTTTTGCTATTTTGTAAAACACCAAGAAAAACATAGTATATGATGAATGTGGGTTTTTCAAAGGACACATGTATCCTCTCTCTATGTCTATCCCCCCTTGTATTTCGCCATATATTGAGTTGCCTCATCTCGTAATATCATTTTTGCCCCCATAATCTTTCTGAAGATTGGGACGAACTTCATGGAGAGAGCTTTTTTTTTTTTTTTTCTCTTCTGAACTTGAGATAGAGCTCAATTCTACTTTTTTTTAGGCGAGTTTCTCCCTCTAAGAAGGAGAGAGGGAAGAAGATATTGCACTTTGCCCTTCTGGTGTGAACTTTAGAAATTAACCAGTAATGTCCTTTGATGGAGCGAGTTGATTCTTTGTTTTATAGAAAATGGTTAATGTGCTCTGACTTTATTTGAAATTAGGGCCAAGGTTTTACGGAAAGAAGTAAAGCCTCAAGAATTTTTAGTTTCAGTGCCGGAAAACGTTTAAATCATCGTCAACATTATTGTGAAAAAAAAAAATTTCCAAGTCCTAAAAATAGTGTATATAATAAGATATTATCTACTCCGTCCTTTTTAAGTGTTTAGGGATCTACAAGAAACATTCTACCGTTTTTTAAGCCACAAATTTCATAATCTGAAGTGGAAATAGATTTTAGTGCTAGCCTAGAGATTTTTCAAGCTAGGCTTTGCCTTATTTTGATAAGGCCTATTTCTTATAGAAACTGCATCCTTAAAAATAATCGATCCAGAGTCAAGCAATTCAACCCCAATTCTCTGAGTTCTTAACATCAACTCGAGGTCGTCATTCGACTCGGGAGGACTAGTTTACTAGCACGTCTAATACATTTGATCTTCTGCAATTATTTATTCATTTATTTATTTAGTAATTAGCTGTAATGTAGTACTGAATACTTAGTGAAAACGCAAACCATGTGGGCGTGGTTTTCAGTGTTTATTTGAATCTATATATAATCGTGGTTTTGGTTTGTTGCAGTGAGGGAGAAGAAGAAAAAGGAGGAAAATGGTGCTTTGGGTTTTCGGCTATGGTTCTTTGGTGTGGAACCCAGGCTTTATATTTGATGAGAAAATTGTAGGATTCATCAAGGATTATAAGCGCGTGTTTGATCTTGGTGAGCATTCATCTGCGTTCTCTCTCTCTCTCTCTCTCTCTCTCTTCTCTCCTAAAACAAAGAAAAGAAAGGTATTGATCATAGTAATAAGTGACTTTTTATTTCTCAGCTTGCATAGATCACAGAGGAACACCAGAAAGGCCAGCAAGAACTTGCACCTTAGAGACCACAAAAGGAGCGATATGCGTAAGTTTTTAAGTCCTTACCTTTTTGCATCAATATTCCTCCTTATTAGGCCTCAAATATTTTGATAGATTTATACAATGAAAAATGTAATTTTCCACAGTGGGGGGTCGCATATTGTGTAAAAGGATGCCCTGAAAAGGAGAGAGCAGCCTTGGAGGTACGTCTCTCTCTCTCTAGTTAGATACTTTCCTTATGTCCAAGGTGTGTGTGTGTCTCTCTCTCTAGAACTTAATGGCGGATTCTATTTCTTTTGGTGCAGTATTTGGAGAGGAGAGAATGTGAATATGACTGCAAGACTTTTGTTGATTTTTACAAGGTAGAATTGCTTGCCCTCAAAATCCATCCCAAAAAAAAGCAAAAAAAAACTCTTTATATTGTTTTTCTTTTTGGGGGACATTTTTTTGCTAATTTCGTTTGCTAGATCATGTCTTTCCTTATTTTTCCCTGTTTCTAAATACGCTATATTATCTTTTTCCTTTTTTTGGGAATTCAGGAGGAAGGAGATACATTGGAGCCAACCTTGACAGAAGTCTTAGTGTATGAACACTGATCCCTTTTTTATTTCTAATCAAATCAAAAAATGGGAATATTTTTTTTTTTTTCAGAATTTTCTAGATTCTTATTTAAAATAAATAGTTTTCTTTTTCTCTCAGATTTACATCGACTCCAGACAAGGTAAAGAATAAATATTTCTTGGGTCCAGCCCCGATGAAAGAGATGGCAAGGTATGTAGGTGCATTTCCATATCATTTTTTTTTTTTTCTGTTAGGACAATTCGAATTTTGAAACCTGGCCTAATGAAACAAATATATTAAATCTCCAAAAGAAATTTACTGTATTTAATTTCTCACTTCTCCCTATTTGGATTTGCAGTCAAATTGCAACAGCATCTGGTCCTTGTGGAAACAACAGAGACTACCTGTTCATGTTGGAGAAGGCTTTGTTTGACATAGGTATGAGCCTCCTCTCTCTAGATAGAAAGGGGGTAGAGATTTATTTTCTCTCAAGATTTTTTCTTTTTATAAAAAAAAAAGAAAAGATATTTGAGAGGAGAGAGATTATTTTCTCTTTATAGCTTTTGTTTCGGAAGGAAAGAAATTTTAGAGAGAGAAGTGATGGGTTGTTGTGAAACAGGTCACGAGGAAGACATGGTAATAGAGTTGGCAAGGGAGGTGAGGAAAGTGGTGGGAAAGATGACAAAAGGCATTCCAATTCCTTTAGCCACTGGCACCCACCTACCCATCAATCCTCAATTCACTCACATCCATCACCACCTACCCATCCCTGAAAGCCCCAAGATCCTTATCCTTGATTCCTGACCTCAACACAAAAAATTTAACAACTAAAATATAGAGAAAAACTGGACTCAATATTTTGAGACAGATTACTAGGAGGGAGATAGAGGGAGTGAGAGATTGATGTTAGAATAGAAGCTAAAGAGAGGTATTGATGTTAGAAAATAACTTAGACAGAGAGAATGATTTTAGAAGAGAGAGAGAGAGAGATCACATTTTTTTTTATCTGCTGACTGAAATTCTGCATTTAAGGTTAAAATGAAAGAGAAATACATGGGTGGCCTTCATCACTGTTTTATTATTTTCCCTTCAATTTCTTAATATCATCTTGCTGACTTAACAAGGTCAATTTGATGTTGGACTTGTGATTTTTATTGGCCCTTGTCATTGTTAAATGCTGTATTTTTTTGGATTTCTTGTGGTATGGTGTCTCTATAGTGGATACTGATAGGGCGAGGCATTCTTTAATTTTGCCTGCCCTGCTTTCAATTTGTATCAAAGCACAAGTTCTCAAATGAGCGAAATGGACCACAATGTGAAACAATCTCTCTCTCTCTCTCTCTCTCGATCTCATGGTCTCAAGGAGATCTCTCTCTCTAGATTTCAATGGGAATGCTCTCTCTGGATTCCAATTCCAATGCACGTCCCTCTCCCTGAATCTCATGGGCTCTCTCTCGGTTGCAACGGAAATGTGAATACTGATTTCCAGGTTCCAATCCCTCAAATCTTTCTAAATGCACTCTCTGGGTTTCAATGGAAGTCTCTCTCCGGATTATCGTGGTCTCAATGGAATATATATCTCCGTGCAAATGGGAATAGTCTGATCTCTCGGTTCCAATGGAAATGGGAACACTTTCTGGTCTGTAGGTATCGATGAAAATGGTAATGCACACAAAATCTCCCAGGGTACAACAATGGTAGTAGAAACATGCTGTATATGGTATGTGGAGGGTAAATCTCCACCGTCCCTCCATGTTCCAAACACCATTGGCGTGTGATACACTTCCCATCAATCAATTCTTGTCTTATTCGAGAAAAAGCTTGCTTGCTTGCTTGCATATTCGCCCCACTTGGAGGATAAGAATATGGTCTTAAGACCTGAGACATGTTCTATTCGCTTACAGCAGCAGTATCCCCAGGCTCTATGAAAACTAAGTAAAGCCTCACCTCGAATTCTCTCTCTGGGTATTAGAAACCTTTATGATGACTTTAAAATCCACTTTTTAACACCGTCTCATGAAGTTTGAAGTTCAAAAAATATAGAGATCTTGTGGATCTACGAACATTTATTTTTAGAACAAAATAGATGGTCTAGATAATTTGTTATAATGTACACTATTTTTGGGATTTAAAATCCTCCTCTTTTTCTTTTTTTTCATAACTATAATGGTGAAGGCAAAGATAATTAATTTGAAGGTTTTATGATGTTAGAACGTACTATTTTCAATGAGTTTTAAGGTGAGGTACTTATTTTGATGATAACGCTGCAGCCCTATCAAAACATTTTTCTATTCTAAATCACTAGAAACCCAGAGCTTTAACAACATGAGGATGCATACTATTTATGCTCCCTCGGGAGCATATTTATTTCATTTCACTAAGTCAATCTGAAATTTTGGGAAACAACTAAGCATTACTAGATGATTATTCTTGAAAAAAAAAATGAGTTTGAAAAAATAAAATATCAATTTTCCAACACTTCAGACATTATTTTTCTAAGTGCTTAGAGGTTACAATTAAGAAATTTTCTATTGGGATTCTCTACTACAAGACAATTTATTTTCTGTACAAAGATATCATAGTCAGCTATTGGATATAAAATTCAATAAGTGAAAACATGCCACAATATTTGACAGATTTTGTTTTGACTTCGTGTCCAAAGAATGACCCATCCACAACCATCAGGTTTCAAATCTAATCGTCAATGATGATTATAAACCATTATATAAAAAATAAAGAGCTTAATTGCATATACTTCATTTTCTATAGAGGTTAATCTATAAGGTTATATCTCCAATATTTGGGATACTAAAAGTAATTTAATTGGGGTTTTATTGGCGGGAGTAGAATATATTTTTGCTAACAACACAGATTTGATGGTCTTTAAGAATTGAAATGCATTGGTCAAAGAACACTACAAATTCAACTACTTTTTAAGGAGCAACTTTCCTTTTTTCTTTTTGCCCCTTCAAGTTCATCACCATGGAGGTTGTCAACCCTATTCCCCTATTTGGATGATGAAAAGTTTGGCCAAACCAATATGGCTATTCAGTTAAATTAAGCACAAAAAATAGCTGACAAAAAACCAGATCTAAATGACACAATAGCGTCAAAATTGGGTGGAAGTAACAATAAAGGTAGTTAACTAGGAAAACCCATACAACTTTGGCGAATGATAGTTGGGCGTATTTGGCTATTAGGTTTAATAAATCACAGACGATCCTTGATTGAAAACGACAACAGCCAATTTGAATGTTAAAAAAGTTGGGCAACACAACTACAAGGTAACAAGCTAAGGGTACAAATACCATAGTCCACACTCGTACATTTACTCATAAAAGAGCTACTGGGAGGATTTATTCAACCAGAAACTTTGATATCATTTTCTGAAAATTTTGAATCTTAACAAATTAAACACTTGCTCTGACTTCCAGGGCAACCCAATGTTGGACGGTCTCCGTTCAATCATAACCCGTTATTCAGGCATATAAAGTGCGCTATAATTTCTTTTCTATTTTTTTTTTTTATTATTTTGAAGTTGGTACTAAGTTGAAGACAAGATATTACATCCCCAAAGTTTGAGCCTAATATTTACCTAAGGGAGCTCCCTCAAGAGCAGTAAAAAGGTGCGGTTGGTACAAGGTTGAGGCCATAAACAACCAAAGCAACGTGTAACTCTGAATAGCATTCAAAGATGAATTTCCCGTGGCAAAAATCTTTGTAATGGCCTGAAAATTTATTTTCATCTCTAATTATAAAATTTAAAGCTTAAATAAATAGTATACATCAAACAAATCTATATACACGTGAAAATATTGAAAATTGATGGCCCAGATAATGCATTACAAGGTGCACTATTTTTCAAACTTGAAATCCATTTTTATTCACATCTACACATCTCAAAGTCAAGATATCGAAAAACCTCTTCTAGTGAATTTTCGAAGTGTGCTTTGATTTGATTTGATTGCTTAGGGCTTCAACCAAAAATTAGCTGATTAGAAAATGATAGGTGGCCAAATCTGTTCCCCATTACAGTCCATGGAAAAATGAACCTCCAAATCTATTTTCCATCAATCACTTAGTTGTTAACCTAAAGCGAGAGAAAGAGAGGATAAAAGGAGAAAATAAGAACTTGAGCTTTTATATTTTTCGAGCTCAGGGCCACTTCCCATTGGTTCATTTTGACATCTTGGTTAACTCGAGCTTTAGCCTAGTCACATATACACCATTGTTTGACCTAGTCACAAATACACCATTGTTTGACACCCAGAAAACCCAAACCCCCCCCCCTTTCCCCCCCCAAAAAAAAAGAATCCAACCTCACCTATTTTTTTTCCCATCCTTTTTTCTGCTTCACTTCCTTAGAGAGAGCAAAACAACTCATGTGTCTGTCACACACAGACTGGAAACACCTATGGTGAAAGAAACAAAAACACAGAAAAAATTCCCTTTATAGAGTATGAGCCAAATAGAAGTACATGGGATAAAGATGAAGGCTTCTTTCTTCTTTTGATAACTAACTATTCATAAATGAAGGCTTATTTCCGTACAATATATTTCTCCATTGAGATTGAAAACTAGAGAGGCAAACAGATAATGAAATGGAGAAACCGTGCATGGGAATGAACACAACCTTACAGGTAAAGAGAGTTGGCAAAGATGATGCCACGCCTAAGGCTTTGGCTACCAGCTGCAAACTTGTTCTCTAGGTCCACCTCCCCCACAGCATGAGCTGCATCTTTCAACTGCACCAATAGAAATCGACCACCACTTAAACTTTACATATCTTCATTTCAATAGAAGCTACAAAATCACCAATATTCATAAAAAAAAATTTGACAAGGTTACATGGAACTAGAGACGTTGGACTATGGAAACCTATCCTCTACCGTCACCACTATTCATAAATTGTAGCTTAGAAATACCGCCAGTTTGCAGAATTACAAATGGAAAGTATACAATAAGTTTGGTACAAGGTAACAATTACTTTGGGTCCTAGGATGTGAAATCTGGCAGCTGAGATGTGCTATTAACCACGCTCGAAGTCCCAAAGATAACTTTTCAAACTTTGTGATATACCCCAAGCTGTCAGATATCAAGTAATTGCAACATCCTCGTACCAAAGATAAATGGTGATTGGCAATGATCAGCAAGTGTAGTTTAGTAAGAATATGTTCAATTTAATGCACTTTTGAGCATTTAAAATATTCTGGTGGATGGTTTGGAGATTAAAAAAAGGCATGCTTCTAATGATGTGCTCCAGTCCATCTAAAGCACATACATTTGCTTCCGAAGATACATAGCAAGTACTGTGCAGTTTTAATGCATTTATTTACAAGAATAAAGAACTGAAATTGATCAAAATCACCTGGTTCAAAAACTCATCCAATCTCCTCGCCAATCTGATAATGCTCCCCTCAAAAATATCAGTCATTTCAATCACCTCGGAAAAAGTTGCACCCTATAAAGTAGTAAGCATGGTGGTTTGAGAGACAAAAGGAAACGACTACATGAAAACATAAAAGGAGTAGATCCACATCATAACCTTATTAATTATGATTCTTACTAACCATGGACCAACAGTAGATAACATCCATCAAATATGGCCGTACAGTTGATTCCACGTACTCGTCCACGTTCACTTCCAACTTGCATTCACGTTGAATCTGCATTGCATTCAATAAAGTCACAACCATTCATATTACAATTAATTTTAAAAAATTTACGAGATAAATGAGAACCCAAATTATTGCGTTTTAAGAAACATGAGAACCCATATCATTATCACGTCAATAAACCTCAGCAATTCTTCTTGCGCTGTCTTGAAGCTGTTGTAATGGCTTTGCAAGCTCAGTTCTCAAATGTATCTGCTCACTAGATTTATCCCCAGGAATGAAGCAGCTGGCCAAAGCCACAACTTGATGATGGTCAAGTTCGTTAAATGTACCTAAGCAAGCATTATGTCAATCTGTGAATAAAACTTAAACAGCAAACATATCTTCAAGAGCTTGTTAACATTAAGTTATTAAACTTACCATTGAACATTAGCTCGGTAACAAGCAGTTCATCACCAGTATCTATCAAGCAGGCAGCCCGACCCTTCAGTTGAACAACACCATCAGCATCAATATGGCCAAGCCTCTTTAACACCCGTGCACGATTTCTCAACTCATCTCTGAATTTTTGGATCTGATCAAAGGAGGCAAATCATTACAAGCCCATAAACATGGAAGAAAATGGAACTATTTTTTTTTCAAACTCAACATGCTGTAACTGCCCAAAAGTAACATTATCATCATCATCCAAGCCTCCTAAAAATATCATAAAACCCAATATTTTCAAAGCCATAAGAAGAAACCAAATTCAACTGTCAACAAAACATGTGACATAAAATCGTCAGAGAGCAATTCTAGACATGTTTGATTGCAAGTTGCAAGATCATGGTATTACAATCTTTTTCCTAGTATTTCATAATTAATCGTGGGCAATTTTTGATAAAATTAAAACCAGTACACAAAGACTAGAGAGAATCCCCAAGGAAAAAACATTCGATCCTTCAGCATACAGTATCGTTTCTTTTTTTTTGAAATTTCCTTCAGCATACACGTTCCACATCATAGTTGCTTCATGGTTAGAAGAAAGGGAGTAAAACACCAAGAATATCCAAGTAAAACTTCATATTATACGTGTTTATTTGCTAATCTCAAAGTTTGATAACTTATGCCACGACAATGACTCACTCAGCCCCCATTCTGTAAGGGCATGATCCAGGGTTCAGGACAACACAAGAATACAATTTGACTATGAAACAATAAACCTTCCATAACTAGATAATTTTAATCCAGGACAATCCAGATATTCCACACCATGTTTAGAAATCCCAAGGAAAGTCAATCACCTGATTAAAGAGCTGTTCAGGATCCTGCTTTAGAGTTTCAAATGGTATTATATTTGATAACCAGTAAACAGATGGCCAATCATAGAACGAGTCCATTTAAAGATACCAACAAAAAACTAAAATTACCTGCGAATCCCGCATCTTAGATTTGAGTTGCTGAATCTCATGATTCACCTGTGCTTTCCTTTGGAAAGTCTTGAAATGTTTCTCGTCTTGAATGGACTATAAAAATATGCATATCTTAGTACGCGCAATCACTTCAAGTAATAAGAACCGACGATCAAAAGCCAGCAGGAGAAAAAAAGAAAACTTAAAACTACGAAGCATGGAAATTTTCATCAAGCACTGATAATAACAGGAGTACCTTATGAAGCGGATGAGCAACTAACTTCTGTTCTAGTCCCTCAATTTTGTTGACCAATTCAACAAACTCTGGGTCCTGTATGCCCATATCCTGACAAATGATGATAAAGTGGATGAGAGCATACAATCAGAAGAGCGAATTGAAATTTAGGCATGAAACCCCCAAAAGGAAAAAGGACAAGAAAACAGTATTACCAATGAGGCAAGATAGTACTAATACAAAATGGATATCTAGAAGCCATTCATTTCACTTCTCAAGCAGTACACAGTGGTCCAATAGCAACTATTTTTTTTGAGAATAACAGCAACTATTCGTAATAACTAAATAATTAACAACCTCTAAACTCTTGGATATTATGATACAATAACATAGTAAGTCACTTAACATTTTAACATAAAGGGGGCTAGAAATCAAACATCCAAAAGAAGCTAATAGTGCATACTCCGAAAGTGGTGGCGGCGTTTTGCCTACCAGTCTACCACCAGGAACTAGCTGTGGTGCAATGTCATAGCTCATAGATATGGCACAGAATCAACAGGATTCCTAATCAAAGGCCCAATAACCTCCACCAGAAATTACTTGGGGCTTGGAAAGGGATCGATTAAGTCTTCTCCGATTTCCACAAACGCAAATGATTTTTTAGGATAAAAAACCAAACAAGACTTTGGAGAGACATTTGGATAGGCATGACCACTGTGGACCACATATACCCCAGCCCAGACTATCCCATGTTGCATCCGATGAACTGATCCCGATGCTCTTATCTCAATAATCATGGAGAATTTGGCTGGTGGGACTATATGGACACCTCAATTTCAATTTAACGTAAAAAAAGGAAGAGAACACTGATCTCCGATCCATGCTACTGACACTGCAGATTTTCTCTCCCTCAAATTAAAAGAAAGTACATGGTAATCTGGAGCCCGGGAATGAGTATTTTCTTGGTTTATTCCTTTTATAAGGCCCTTACCCATTCCAACCTCTTTATAAAGCCCTTATTGACCCCCCTCAAATGCACGTAGAACATGCTCCACGTTATCTCCTCCACGGTAAAAAGCTTTCAATTGGCTGGGTACCTCCGATAAAGCTCTAACCATAGACCATATACAACACCAACAACTCTTATACCCAACAGGTGTATCATATGCAAGGATGCCACAGTGTCCATTAACCACCTCTTCATCCCTTGCAATCCAGGGCAGCATGGAGTAGGGGGTGCTTTCAGAAATCCCAGGTGTTCTCAGATGCCTCTCAAGCAGAAGCAACAGCCCTCTTAATAGGCCTCGACACTTTTGACAAGGTATGGGGCAACTTGCTAATGATCACATGGCACTCGGCTAGCGTTACAATTCGGAACTTCAAGGCAGCACCAAACCCCTGGAGACTAGACCAAAGTTTAGGCCAAATTTATGAATCTACTCATCTCTAGTGTTTCTTTAAAACACATTTGGAGACAGACCAATCATTTAGCTGACTCTCATTTCGTGTTTCACCAAATAGACTCTTGTATAAACCCAAGACCCAACAACCTTGCAAAGTGTGTATTTTTTGAGCCCCAATTTTGCTTCCTTTATTTATTTACACATATATGCATCCATTTTTACAACATTGATGAAACAATGTAAACTGCCAAAAAAGAAAAGTTTAACATTGTAAAGTAAGGCATAGCAAAGATATTTAATTTTACAGTAGCAGAAAGACATTTGAATTTCTGTACAGATCAAGCAAAAGATGCCCATCACTCGGGACAAAAACTCATGATGTAACTATATGCTCATCTTGCAGCCTAAGTCTTTTATCATTCTCCCATGTTGAGTTGGGAATAAGAATAATAGAAGCATGCAACACACGTGCATCTTGCAAGTGGATTTAAGACTTCCCTTTATTTTATGTTTTTTCCCTATTTGAAATAGAGTTTGAGGGGATTAGGACAGCATTGATAACCATTCAACATCACTGAAGCATAAAAATACAAATTTGGCTGGACTGAACACAAATCCATGTAGGATTAAGATAAAGAAAATTTTTCTCATTTGTTAATTTTCTATTCATAAATAATGATAACACTCTTGATTTCTTTATCTTGTATAATGAATTATTATTATTTAAGGATATTTTACCAATTCACAGAGGGCATCAAAGGCATGGAATTTTGGGCCATGCTCTCTCTCCAGCCAGATTCGCTCATCATAGTTTCCTATTAAACAATTACAATAAATTTTTAACTTTCAAATTTTATTTTAAAAGTAATAGAATGAAAATATCTAATTTTTTTCTATTTAATAAGGAACCTTACTGTTTGAAACACTTTCCACCATAAACCAAGGGATATGAAAAATAATGTATTCTTATGAAAAATATTCCTAGTAAATTACTCAATATATCAAATTACCTTCATTTTCTATTTTCAATAAAAATAAAGGAGCAATTTTCATTTCAATATTTAAAATCACAAATTTTATTTTAAAAATTTTTAAATATCAAATATGGAAAAGTATAAATAATTTGCTGCCAGTGCATCACATCAACTGTGGACTAGTGCGTGTAGAGGATTTTAAGCCACTTCCTTTATGATGCCTTAACAAAACCTACTCAACATTTTTTGATGCTTGGTAAGGTTATTCTTTATACAAGAAATTTGTTTATTACGGGCATTTTAGGTATTTAATCAACACCAAAGAATAAATTTTTTGCCGAGATAAAAGCATTTACTAACTATTGTAGAAAATGACAACACCCACATTGACAACATATATAAAACGTAACACATCACTTGGTTGGAGAATTAATTGTTTTTCAACAAGTAATGAAATGTCCTTCTCTTCCTCAAATATATATATACCCCTCACTAATGACAAAAACTCAAAAAGTCTCCTCACTAAAAAGAACGTTTTGCATTAAAAGGCAAGAGTTTTGCATTAAAAGAACTTGAGCAAAAACATTTAAAATTAAGATCCAAAAACAGGTAATTTGCCCAGAACTTCAATATATCAAACATTAGTTCACTCTACTATGTGACTTTGCCATTCTGTGGTAATAAAATGTCAAACACCTTTATAAAAAATATATCTAGGTTCTAAACAGTGACTATGGCACCCGAGCCGTATGGTCGAGTGCAGTGTTACCTAAAAACCTTGCCTTTGGCTTGTTGTCGCTTGTTACCACTTGTTCACACTTGAGAACACACCGACCGTACATGTCGAATTACGTCACCACTTTTTATGTAAGTGCTTTGCATTTTATTACAATTAGAGTATGACAGATCATGTGGTGGTGTGAACTCATAATTGGTCCTAGTAAAGTAACCTTTTTTTAACAAATTTCTTCTTTCAATTTAAATTTTATTTTTAATAAATGCAGGGTGTAGAAGCCGTGTTACTGAGGGAATTTGAAAACTGAACCTCATGTACAAGTACGGTATGCCCTACCACTCCGCCACTTTTGGCTCTAGTGTACCAAGAGGATATTAAATTATCTATAACAGAACACCATCTTATTTAGAATGAATAAGTCATCTAGCAGCAAATATGAACCTAAGACATCCTAGGCAAGAAGGCTAAGCTCTAATACCCTGCCACTTTTAGTGCCACAAGAGGATATTACGTCATATATAATACAAACATTATCTTATTCAAATAAAATAGTTGCCAAGCAGCAGGTTTAACCTGCAACCTCTTGCTCAAACACTATGCACATTCTACCGATATGCTATATTAACTTATGTGCAAAACATTAAGAAATTGTATATCACAACAATATCCGCGTCAAAATCGTCTTTGTACTCCATGAGTTCTACCACTATGCTGTTGTAGCTTATACACAAAAGAAAGAAATTGTACACACAAACACACAATAATTCTACTCACAATACTATTTGCATAGTCATGCCAAGAAGTTTGCTCTGTGTACAAGACATCCCGACATGTACTAAATACCAACACGTCTCAGTGTCCATGAAACACTGTCGAAGCATCGACCACATGTGTACAATTTTCGACACGTCTTTAAGTATTGACACATGTCACCACGCAAAACCAAGTCTAGGCAAAGTGTCTAGGTAACACTGATTTTGTTCAGCTTCTATCCACTTGTTTTGGTTTTGTTAAGCTACCCCTTCATAGAGCATTCCCTCAACCTACTCAACATTCATTGGATATGAACATACTCAAATCTTTTGACACCAAACGTTTCGACTAAGAACAATTTTTGTCATTAGTGAAGGGTAGCTAGATATTTCTTAAGAAGTGCTTGGTGTTAGTGGATACAGTTATTCGACTACATCCCCCAACACATCCATTGTCCATTTACAATAGGCGGTAAAGGTCAGATCCGAATCTCAATTTTCGGACGCAACCTTTACCTTCACTATAAATGGACAGTAGATGTGTTAGGGGACACAACCCAACAACTATATCTCCTCATTTATAAAAGGGAAAATTTCTCCATACACTTTGTTTTGGAAAACCATTTCTCAAGAGATCCAAGGTTTCAAAACCTTTCTGGTAACATAAGGATTCAAACCATGGACCCAAATAAACCCCTTTGACCACACATTCTTGACCCAAACAAAATGTTAAATGACATCTCTTTCTATTTGTATCCATTCTATCTAAACGTCTCTCCCTTCGATCTATATGCCTCTCTCTCTCTTAAACCTCTCTTTTTCCAAAACTTTTCTCCCTCTCTTAAACCTCTCTCTTTCTCCAAGACGTCTCTCTCTTAAACCTCTCTTTCTCCAAAACCTCTCTCGCTCACTTTCTTTCTCCAAAACCTCTTTTCAAATAGAAAGAGGTGTCATTTAACATTTTGTTTGAGTCAAGAATGTGTAGTTAAATGGGCTATTTAAGTCCAGGGGTTAGAAGATACAATAGTTTGAATCTCTAAGCTGCAAGAAAGGTTTTGAAACCTTAGGTCTCTTGAGAAATAGCTTCCCTAAACAAGGTGTACAGAGAAATTTTCCCTTTATAGAAATTTTAGCCCATTTCTAAAAAGGTATGATGGCATTTTACTAGTTGTTGAAATGCAATTAATGCTCAACATAAAAGAGACCTCAGCCCATGCGTATGATATCACATCCCATATGGATGATG